GGCTTAATTCTTTCCTTTCTTGTACTACGGCTGTTTTTGTTTCTAACAACTGCTGATTTAGTAGCTTTTTAATATAGAATATATATTTTAGTAAAAGTTTTATTAAAACCTTTTTCTTTTAAATAAGAAAAATTTATAATTTAGAATTAGGGCTGCACACGAACCAGAACTAAACTGGAACTGAAATAGAAGTAGAACTGAACTAGAACTGAACTAGAACGAACTAGAACTTGAACTAGAACTGAACTAGAACTGAACTAGAACTGAAACTAGAACGAACAAGAACGAACTAGAACTGAACTAGGAAACTGAACGAGAACTGAACTAGAACTGAACTAGAACTGAACTAGAACTGAACTAGGACTGACTAGAACTGAACTAGAACTGAACTAGAATCTGAACTAGAACTGAACTAGAAATGAACTAGAACTGAACTAGAACTGATCTAGAACTGAACTAGAACTGAACTAGAACTGAACTCGATGAACTAGAACTGAACTAGAAATGAACTAGAACTGAACTAGAACTGAACTAGAACTTGAACTAGACTGAACTAGACTGAACTAGAACTGAATAGACTGAACTAGAACTGACTAGAAAAGAACTAGGACTGAACTAAGAACTGAACTATAACTGAAACTAAGAAACTGAACTAGAACTGAACTAGAAACTGAACTAGAACTGAAACTAGAACTGAACTAGAACTGAACTAGAAACGAACTAGAACTAACTAGACTGAAATAGAAACTGATGAACTAGAAACTGAACTAGACTGAACTAGAACTGACTGAACTAGAACTGAACTAGAAACTGAACTAGAATGAAACTAGGGAACTGAACTAGAACTGAAACTAGAACTGAACTAGAATGAAACTAGAAACTGAACTAGAACTGAAACTAGAACTGAACTAGAACTGAAACTGAAACAGAACTAGAATAACTGTACTGACCTGGAATAATTGGAAGGTTTCCGTTCTATTAAATCGACAAATTTTCAATTAACCACAAAAATATAAATAATTTTATAAATATTACAAAATAAACATTATTCATTAGGTAATTTTCTGAATCTTGAAAAATTCTTAAACCATTGGCGTAATAAGCATGCAAAACCACATTTCTTGTAAAACTTATTTAACATCATTATCTATTCTTACATACAGATATTTGATACTTTGTTGCAAATTTCACTATATATTATTTAAGTCTTCGCAATTTATGGTAATATTGACCTTCCTGTCATTACATTTCAAATCTAAATTCTGATTCTTACCTTAGATAGTACCTAGGTTCAATTGTCTTCAGATGTATGTATTTCCATGCAACATATAACTTAATATTTTTTATATGATCATTGAACGTACAGTCATATGTGTATGTACATATAATTGCGCTAACTACTTAACACTTCTTAACCGCAAAAAAACCTGATACTTCTTAACGTTTCAGTTTCTTAAAAAAAATTAAATGCCGCATGCGTGTTTGCCTCCATGACCATAATAAAGAAGTTATGAGAAGATTTTTAAATAAAAGAAATTCAGGAAATACTTGGTAACAATAGTGTACGAAAAAACAAAGGAATACAATTTCATAGTTCGTCATAGAAAAATGAATTTTTCAGAGGAAAAACAAAACAAAAAATTCTTTGAAGAAATGCACCTACTAAGGGGTGTTACGAAACTCTGTATTTGAAATCAAATCGTACCGCACTGCATCATACATACAATTACGGTTCTAACAACTTTATAGACAATTCGTTTTTTTATCAGCTTCGAGTAATAAACGTAGATTCTCGTTATTGTTTATATACAATGCACTCAAGGAAAAATGTTTGTAGGATAAAACTGGTATGATTGTATAAAAGGGCATGGCCCATCATATGATACGTTATAACAGTGGATAGTGTGAAAATTTGTTGACAAAAAAGTTATACGGGGACAAAGTACTTTTAAGTGAATTATTCACTTTCTTTTTTTTAAAGGGGACTTCGCTCTTAGGTCAAGAGAAAAGAATGTGCTAAATTTCATAAAATTATCTTCAAAATTGACACAGAGATTCTAAGCCGATTGATATATTTTAAGGTGGATATAGGACCAATATATTTGGGAGTTACAAACATCAGCACAAACGCATAATACCCTCCCCACTGTTGCGAAAGATCAATTTTCTTCGATAAACTGCACCTTCTGTTGTCTTTTCGACTACCGATCCCTAGACGTTATTTCAAGCAGAGATACTTGACATCAATAAAGCCGCGAGAAGAATTCGGCAACGGAATATCGAAAATTCGACAATTCATATCTACTTGGACTGCTTTACATTAATCAAGGCTCTCCAACATTATTAAGACGAAATATCCTTTTAATTGTATCAAATCACTAATACTATAACAGACACAATATCACGTTAACTTGATATGGGTCCCAGGACATGAGGTCATTCGGGGAAATGAAATATCTGATGAATGCGTAACTAAAGGGTCGTCCTTAGATGAATGACCTATGAGTGAGACGGTATTCATGTGGTGAAATATCACCACTTGTAGAATATCCATACTGCACTGGCCCACTCTGACAAGGGATAACACTTGGTCTCTCTTGTCTTTTAGTAAGAACTCCATTAAATACGTCGCTAATAAATGGCATCGGATTTATTGGAAGTACCGCCAGGTTCACACCGGGACCACAAGAACTATGTGGTCATAGTCTAGTCATAGTCTAGTCATAGTCTAGTCATAGTCTAGTCATAGTCTAGTCATAGTCTAGTCATAGTCTAGTCATAGTCTAGTCATAGTCTAGTCATAGTCTAGTCATAGTCTAGTCATAGTCTAGTCATAGTCTAGTCATAGTCTAGTCATAGTCTAGTCATAGTCTAGTCATAGTCTAGTCATAGTCTAGTCATAGTCTAGTCATAGTCTAGTCATAGTCTAGTCATAGTCTAGTCATAGTCTAGTCATAGTCTAGTCATAGTCTAGTCATAGTCTAGTCATAGTCTAGTCATAGTCTAGTCATAGTCTAGTCATAGTCTAGTCATAGTCTAGTCATAGTCTAGTCATAGTCTAGTCATAGTCTAGTCATAGTCTAGTCATAGTCTAGTCATAGTCTAGTCATAGTCTAGTCATAGTCTAGTCATAGTCTAGTCATAGTCTAGTCATAGTCTAGTCATAGTCTAGTCATAGAGTCATAGTCTAGTCATAGTCTAGTCATAGTCTAGTCATAGTCTAGTCATAGTCTAGTCATAGTCTAGTCATAGTCTAGTCATAGTCTAGTCATAGTCTAGTCATAGTCTAGTCATAGTCTAGTCATAGTCTAGTCATAGTCTAGTCATAGTCTAGTCATAGTCTAGTCATAGTCTAGTCATAGTCTAGTCATAGTCTAGTCATAGTCTAGTCCTAGTCTAGTCATAGTCTAGTCATAGTCTAGTCATAGTCTAGTCATAGTCTAGTCATAGTCTAGTCATAGTCTAGTCATAGTCTAGTCATAGTCTAGTCATAGTCTAGTCATAGTCTAGTCATAGTCTAGTCATAGTCTAGTCATAGTCTAGTCATAGTCTAGTCATAGTCTAGTCATAGTCTAGTCATAGTCTAGTCATAGTCTAAGTCATAGTCTAGTCATAGTCTAGTCATAGTCTAGTCATAGTCGTCATAGCTAGTCATAGTCTAGTCATAGTCTAGTCATAGTCTAGTCATAGTCTAGTCATAGTCTAGTCATAGTCTAGTCATAGTCTAGTCATAGTCTAGTCATAGTCTAGTCATAGTCTAGTCATAGTCTAGTCATAGTCTAGTCATAGTCTAGTCATAGTCTAGTCATAGTCTAGTCATAGTCTAGTCATAGTCTAGTCATAGTCTAGTCATAGTCTAGTCATAGTCTAGTCATAGTCTAGTCATAGTCTAGTCATAGTCTAGTCATAGTCTAGTCATAGTCTAGTCATAGTCTAGTCATAGTCTAGTCATAGTCTAGTCATAGTCTAGTCATAGTCTAGTCATAGTCTAGTCATAGTCTAGTCATAGTCTAGTCATAGTCTAGTCATAGTCTAGTCATAGTCTAGTCATAGTCTAGTCATAGTCTAGTCATAGTCTAGTCATAGTCTAGTCATAGTCTAGTCATAGTCTAGTCATAGTCTAGTCATAGTCTAGTCATAGTCTAGTCATAGTCTAGTCATAGTCTAGTCACAGTGTAGGCATAGTCTATTATAGTTTTTTCGAGTGTAATCTGCGTACTACCCATAAATGTTTATGTAATGTCTGAAAACAAACGTAAAGTTAGAATTTACTTGTTTCTCTATTTAAGTAGTTCTTACTGCATCCGAACGCTTTGATGCACATCAGTGAACATTTCTTAAGTAAAATCAACGAAATAAGAAAAGTTTATAAAAAAAAACTTAAATTCAATTTTCATATTGTACTTCTGGTTAAATTTGTATGCATGTGTGCAAAGTTGCATTGTCTAAGTAAATGTTAAGGCCAAGGTTTTCTTTCTTACCAACTCCCTGTTGAGTTATACTTATTTTATGCATTACCATGTATTCAAGTGTAATGTGTTTTGAGCGAAAACTGTAAAAAGAGTTTTTTAAGCAGACAGTGTTTTTGAGGGAAATTATAGAAAATTCGTAGCTAAATTTTGTCTACGGAAGTGAGTTAATTGGTTCTGGATTTAAGCCAAACTTCGTAATTAATTTATAGTCGATAGTATTTTTCCTAATAATATGTTTGACATTTAAAATTAAATTTTTGTTTTAAACAAGATTTCTAAAAAAATCTTAAGCACTGGAAATAACTAAACATTTCAGCAACTAAGTACACATAAATAAATATTATATTGTATACCCCTGATGAAATTTTAACACCATATAACTAACATTTTTTTCGAGCATGAAATAATAGTTGATTTCCCTATAATGCTAAAAAACGTAGACCCCACGTATATCAAAAAATAATTATAATAATCAGTTACACGGTGACAACATTTCATCATCAGTATAAATTTTGCAGTGAATCTTACTTTGTGTGTATCGTTTTTAAACAAAGTTGTCTGTGGACTGTTGTGGCGGCATGCAGGCTTAAAGTTTTTCGATTAGCTATTTTGTTGTGTCTCTGTGTGTGACCCCAGATTCTTAGAATTGTGTAGACGAAGATATTTTTGTTAAAAATTTTATATATTTTTTAATAACTAACAAAACACTATTTTTAATATTTATAACTTTTAAAACATTCCAAAATATTCACAACATTTTAAGTATTTTAAATATATTTTTCTTTTATAATTTTTAACTTTTAAAACTTTTCACTCACTATTTAGCAGCTGTTATGCAAAAAAGAAAAACTTTAATCAAAGTTTTTAAGAACGTTATATTTATTTAAAGTTTACTTTTCCACAAAGTTTTATTATCCGTCAATAAGTTCTTTTCACGTCACGTTCTCAGTTGCAACTAAAAGAAACTAGTTGGGGCCAAGTTGCAAGATACTTATCGTTGCTGCTCATATGCGTTGACGACTTTTTTTGTTGTTGTTGTTACTTTTCTTTTTTTGGTTCTTTCTACTCCTAATGTTCTTTTGATATTGCATGTAGTTTTTTTTGCCCCTTTTTTCTTCATAACATCATCATTAGCAGTTAACAACATCATCGTCATAATCATCATTATCATGCATGTGTATCGCTTTTGTTGTTTTGACTGTTCTGCAGTTTTGTTCTTTGTTGGTTTTGGTGGGGCCATTTAATATTATAAATGCAGGGGCTTCTGCATAATACATTTAATGTAAGAGAACTGTTTTGCGGTTCGTGGTCATACCCATGATGTGTAAAGACAAAAACTATATGAAAGTGGGTTTTATACCGACTAATGGGATACCTTAAACTTTATATCGGTGCATAATCAATGAGGAGACCAATAATGACCGATCATAACTGGAATGGGGATTAGTTAGTTAGTTAGTTAGTTAGTTAGAGTTAGTTAGTTAGGTTAGTTAGTTAGTTAGTTAGTGAAGTTAGTTAGTTAGTTAGTTAGTTAGTTAGTTAGTTAGTTAGTTAGTTGTTAGTCGTTCTTCGTTTATGTTAGTTAGTTAGTTAGTTAGTTAGTTAGTTAGTTAGTTAGTTAGTAGTTAGTTAGTTAGTTAGTTAGTTAGTTAGTTAGTTAGTTAGTTAGTTAGTTAGTTAGTTAGTAGTTAGTTAGTAGTTAGTTAGTTAGTTAGTTAGTTAGTTAGTAGTTAGTTAGTTAGTTAGTTAGTAGTTAGTTAGTAGTTAGTAGTTAGTTAGTTAGTTAGTTAGTAGTTAGTTAGTTAGTTAGTTAGTTAGTTAGTTAGTTAGTTAGTTAGTAGTAGTTAGTTAGTAGTTAGTTAGTTAGTTAGTTAGTTAGTTAGTTAAGTTAGTTAGTTAGTAGTAGTTAGTTAGTTAGTTAGTTAGTTAGTTAGTTAGTTAGTTAGTTAGTTAGTTAGTTAGTTAGTTAGTAGTTAGTTAGTTAGTTAGTTAGTTAGTTAGTTAGTTAGTTAGTTAGTTAGTTAGTTAGTTAGTTAGTAGTAGTTAGTTAGTTAGTTAGTTAGGTTAGTTAGTTTAGTTAGTTAGTTAGTTAGTTAGGTTAGTTAGTTAGGTTAGTTAGTTAGTAGTTATAGTTAGTTAGTTAGTTAGTTAGTTAGTTAGTTTAGTTAGTTAGTTAGTTAGTTAGTTAGTTAGTAGTTAGTTAGTTAGTTAGTTAGTTGTTAGTTAGTTAGTTAGTTAGTTAGTAGTTAGTTAGTTAGTTAGTTAGTTAGTTAGTAGTTAGTAGTTAGTTAGTTAGTTAGTTAGTAGTTAGTTAGTAGTTAGTTAGTTAGTTAGTTAGTAGTTAGTTAGTTAGTTAGTAGTTAGTTAGTTAGTTAGTTAGTTAGTTAGTTAGTAGTTACGTGTTAGTTAGTTAGTTAGTTAGTTAGTTAGTTAGTTAGTTAGTTAGTTAGTTAGTTAGTTAGTTAGTTAGTAGTAGTTAGTTAGTTAGTTAGTTAGTTAGTTAGTTAGTTAGTTAGTTAGTTAGTTAGTTAGTTAGTTAGTTAGTTAGTTAGTTAGTTAGTTAGTTAGTTAGTTAGTTAGTTAGTTAGTTAGTTAGTTAGTTAGTTAGTTAGTTAGTTAGTTAGTTAGTTAGTTAGTTAGTTAGTTAGTTAGTTAGTTAGTAGTTAGTTAGTTAGTTAGTAGTTAGTAGTTAGTTAGTTAGTTAGTTAGTTAGTTAGTTAGTTAGTTAGTTAGTTAGTTAGTTAGTTAGTTAGTTAGTTAGTTAGTTAGTTAGTTAGTTAGTTAGTTAGTTAGTTAGTTAGTTAGTTAGTTAGTTAGTTAGTTAGTTAGTTAGTTAGTTAGTTAGTTAGTTAGTTAGTTAGTTAGTAGTTAGTTAGTTAGTTAGTTAGTTAGTTAGTTAGTTAGTTAGTTAGTTAGTTAGTTAGTTAGTTAGTTAGTTAGTTAGTTAGTTAGTAGTAGTTAGTTAGTTAGTTAGTTAGTTAGTTAGTTAGTTAGTTAGTTAGTTAGTTAGTTAGTTAGTTAGTAGTTAGTTAGTTAGTTAGTTAGTTAGTTAGTTAGTTAGTTAGTTAGTTAGTTAGTTAGTTAGTTAGTTAGTTAGTAGTTAGTTAGTTAGTTAGTTAGTTAGTTAGTTAGTTAGTTAGTTAGTTAGTAGTTAGTTAGGTTAGTTAGTTAGTTAGTTAGTTAGTAGTTAGTTAGTTAGTTAGTTAGTTAGTTAGTTAGTTAGTTAGTTAGTAGTTAGTTAGTAGTTAGTTAGTTAGTAGTTAGTTAGTAGTTAGTTAGTTAGTAGTTAGTTAGTTAGTTAGTTAGTAGTTAGTTAGTTAGTAGTTAGTTAGTTAGTTAGTTAGTTAGTTAGTTAGTTAGTTAGTTAGTTAGTTAGTTAGTTAGTTAGTTAGTTAGTTAGTTAGTTAGTAGTTAGTTAGTTAGTAGTTAGTTAGTTAGTAGTTAGTTAGTTAGTTAGTTAGTTAGTTAGTTAGTTAGTTAGTTAGTTAGTTAGTTAGTTAGTTAGTTAGTTAGTTAGTTAGTTAGTTAGTTAGTAGTAGTTAGTTAGTTAGTTAGTTAGTTAGTTAGTTAGTTAGTTAGTTAGTTAGTTAGTTAGTAGTTAGTTAGTTAGTTAGTTAGTTAGTTAGTTAGTTAGTTAGTTAGTTAGTTAGTTAGTTAGTTAGTTAGTTAGTTAGTTAGTTAGTTAGTTAGTTAGTTAGTAGTTAGTTAGTTAGTTAGTTAGTTAGTTAGTTAGTTAGTTAGTTAGTTAGTTAGTTAGTTAGTTAGTTAGTTAGTTAGTAGTTAGTTAGTTAGTTAGTTAGTTAGTTAGTTAGTAGTTAGTTAGTTAGTTAGTTAGTTAGTTAGTTAGTTAGTTAGTTAGTAGTTAGTTAGTTAGTTAGTTAGTTAGTAGTAGTTAGTTAGTAGTTAGTAGTTAGTTAGTAGTTAGTTAGTTAGTTAGTTAGTTAGTTAGTTAGTTAGTTAGTTAGTTAGTTAGTTAGTTAGTTAGTTAGTTAGTTAGTTAGTTAGTTAGTTAGTTAGTAGTTAGTTAGTTAGTTAGTTAGTTAGTTAGTTAGTTAGTTAGTTAGTTAGTTAGTAGTTAGTTAGTTAGTTAGTTAGTTAGTTAGTTAGTTAGTTAGTTAGTTAGTTAGTTAGTTAGTTAGTTAGTTAGTTAGTTAGTTAGTTAGTTAGTTAGTTAGTTAGTTAGTAGTTAGTTAGTTAGTTAGTTAGTTAGTTAGTAGTTAGTTAGTTAGTTAGTTAGTTAGTTAGTTAGTTAGTTAGTTAGTTAGTTAGTTAGTTAGTTAGTTAGTTAGTTAGTTAGTTAGTTAGTTAGTTAGTTAGTTAGTTAGTTAGTTAGTTAGTAGTTAGTTAGTTAGTTAGTTAGTTAGTTAGTTAGTTAGTTAGTTAGTTAGTTAGTTAGTTAGTTAGTTAGTTAGTTAGTTAGTTAGTTAGTTAGTTAGTTAGTTAGTTAGTTAGTTAGTTAGTTAGTTAGTTAGTTAGTTAGTTAGTTAGTTAGTAGTTAGTAGTTAGTAGTTAGTTAGTTAGTTAGTTAGTTAGTTAGTTAGTTAGTTAGTTAGTTAGTTAGTTAGTTAGTTAGTTAGTTAGTTAGTTAGTTAGTTAGTTAGTTAGTTAGTTAGTTAGTTAGTTAGTTAGTTAGTTAGTTAGTTAGTTAGTTAGTTAGTTAGTTAGTTAGTTAGTTAGTTAGTTAGTTAGTTAGTTAGTTAGTTAGTTAGTTAGTTAGTTAGTTAGTTAGTTAGTTAGTTAGTTAGTTAGTTAGTTAGTTAGTTAGTTAGTTAGTTAGTTAGTTAGTTAGTTAGTTAGTTAGTTAGTTAGTTAGTAGTTAGTTAGTTAGTTAGTTAGTTAGTTAGTTAGTTAGTTAGTTAGTTAGTTAGTTAGTTAGTTAGTTAGTAGTTAGTTAGTTAGTTAGTTAGTTAGTTAGTTAGTTAGTAGTTAGTTAGTTAGTTAGTTAGTTAGTTAGTTAGTTAGTTAGTTAGTTAGTTAGTTAGTTAGTTAGTTAGTTAGTAGTTAGTTAGTTAGTTAGTTAGTTAGTAGTTAGTTAGTTAGTTAGTTAGTTAGTTAGTTAGTTAGTTAGTTAGTTAGTTAGTTAGTTAGTTAGTTAGTAGTTAGTTAGTTAGTTAGTTAGTTAGTTAGTTAGTTAGTTAGTTAGTTAGTTAGTTAGTTAGTTAGTTAGTTAGTTAGTTAGTTAGTTAGTTAGTTAGTTAGTTAGTTAGTTAGTAGTTAGTTAGTTAGTTAGTTAGTTAGTTAGTTAGTTAGTTAGTTAGTTAGTTAGTTAGTTAGTTAGTTAGTTAGTTAGTTAGTTAGTTACATATATATGTATCGTCACAAAACATCAATTTAATCTCTTTATGTCTACCTCATAATATTACCTACTGTAGGGTTTAAAACACAATGAATTTTTAGTATTTCTTCTAAACAATTCATTGCTATAAACCTTAGTTGCAAAAAAACTTTAGCTAAAAAAGTCTTCCGTATTAATACACACACTCAGACAATAAGTACGTGTTGTACTCTGGTGCTGGCCTCTTACAGATCAAATGATGATCATTGTGTTTAACTGTTTAAATTCACATCACACATTTGAACCAGAAAGTTTTTCTACCTTGTTTAAATTATACTAATACTAAGTCTGTCAGTGGTGTTGCATGTTGCAGCAAACAACAATTGTTATAGGATAATACCTTGACCCAACTATAAATTTACCTTCACCTTTTGTGGCAAAGTGTGTGGCTTGTGTGGTGGTGCAAAGTTAAATATATGATTTATTCAATTTCTAAATAAAAAGCTGTGAACTATGGTCTAGTGCACTTTCCTTTTGTTTTCTTTGAACAAATTGTAAGTTTAGTTTGAAAGTCGAGATATGTTAAGTAAAGTTTGTCAGATGCTTTTGTTTAGGGGGAATAACAATGATGTGCTAAAGACGCTAACGTACCTGGC